CCACACTAAAACCAAGACACTTGGGGGTCACACACTAAAACCAAGACACTTGGGGGGTCACACTAAAATCAAGACACTTGCGGGACAAAAAGCAGGGTTGGTTATTGGCGGGGAAAAAAAAGAAAAAGTCGACTATTCTTCCTCATCATCACTTGGACTCGATGCCGCCGCAATCTTTGAAGGGGTGAGAAGCGACGGCCGCCCACTTTGCTTCGTTTGAAAGGTCCAGCTCCTGGGTGTTGTCGATCTGGGTTTTGACCCGTTTCCACAACTTGGACGGGTACTTCTTTCCAACACCGTAGCGTTCGCAGATCGGGTCAAGCACGCCCTTGGGAATCCTTGACAACCCCGGCTGAATGCCCATCGCAATTTCTACCGCCATGGCATAGCGCCTACCAACCGATGATTCGGTGCCCCTTTTGCGAGGTGGTGTGCTGGGGGGCGATTCCATCGCTAGGGTAGGGTAGTAAAATGGATTTGAGAATTTTGTCGAGAATTCTCAAAAAATATCCCACAATATTTTCTCAAAAATATTCCCAAAACAGGCCAAAATAGGGCACATTTTGACCAATATTAGGTACAGAAATAGATGTTCGTTTTTTTTATTTTTTTTCCATCGCTCCTTCTTTGTTATATCTTTCTTACAAACCCGACTATGCTACCATCACTAACACGGTTGCACCCAGACAATCTATTGCATTTAGGTACCCTAACTTGTGATACAGAGGAAGTAGAACATTAAGGGCACCTAGAGTGCACTCACTACGTACAACTGTTGTGTTCTTCTTCACAATCAATTTCGTAGATTATGCAGGACCCTGGTTTGCGCCTGCCAGTCTCGTCTCGTGCACAGCATATTCGCACCCCAGTCTACATTCGTCGAATCAGAGAGTTGCCATTAATGAGGAAGCTGGGGAGGTGACCACACAAACCCGTGCCAACAACCGTCCAACCGACGCTCGCTGTTGCAGGGTAGGCACGGCCAGCACTTGGATCGAGTTTTTCCCGGAAACCGAGAAACGTGGCGAACAAGAGTTCGCGGGCGCGCCCAGGTAGCGAAGATGACGAGAGGCGCGTCGTCTGCATCCGACGACACCGGTGGTAAACCGAACTTAAGGCCAACGAACGCCTATCTACTCTTCGCTCAGGCAACACGGGCTGACATGAACGCTAAATTCGGTGGCGCTGACAAATCCGTCGAGCATTTCACAAGGAAGCACCAAAGTCGGGTGAGTTTCGTCTCTTGTGGAGCACAGGAGTTCGATTTGCGTTCTTTCCAGGTGTATGCATTTAGTGGATGGGATTGGCTTCAGCGCTCTGTGTACTGTTTCGAAAAGAAGCGGAATGCGGGTCTGTAGAATACATGTGCAAGGTGAACATGAAATGATAGGAGAGACAACAATGCAGCGCTTAGACGTCGATGTTGTCCTCGTCGTCAGCACGAGATGCTCTGTCCCGTGAGCTATTCGGACATCCGCGTGGAGATCAGCTCCATGTCGCCAGACCTTACACCGAAGGGTATGATGCCTCCCGCACCTCCCTTGACCGCTTCCAACAAACTCTCAATATCGAGGTTCATTTTGACGCATGGCCCGCTGAGTTTTCGCCCTTGTTGTGGCCGATCAGATAGTACATTGGTGGGGGCGCCATTGTGGCCTAAGATGCGTTGTGTTGCTCCATCATAACAGCTGACCCACAAACGTATGGAAGTATTGAATCCTGATTGGCAACAACGCAGTCTTTTCCGGTACACTAAAGCAGGAGGGACCGCGAGCGTGGGGTTAGTTTTTTTTTTTTTATGTTCACAACGGTGTTGCTCCATGCCATGTGTTGAGCCTTGAGCACTCTCTCTTGGTTGGCGGCTATATGTTGGTGCTACTCACGAATCATCAGCCTGAACATGACTCAGTTCAACTACAGTGAACAATACGATGAACAATACCTGAACAATACCTGAACAATACCTGAACAATACCTGAACAATACCTGAACAATACCTGAACAATACCTGAACAATACCTGAACAATACCTGAACAATACCTGAACAATACCTGAACAATACCTGAACAATACCTGAACAATACCTGAACAATACCTGAACAATACCTGAACAATACCTGAACAATACCTGAACAATACCTGAACAATACCTGAACAATACCTGAACAATACCTGAACAATACCTGAACAATACCTGAACAATACCTGAACAATACCTGAACAATACCTGAACAATACCTGAACAATACCTGAACAATACCTGAACAATACCTGAACAATACCTGAACAATACCTGAACAATACCTGAACAATACCTGAACAATACGATCCAAGGCTGGTAGTTGTGGACAACACTCAAGATTATCGCTCAATGATATGGTGTTTTGAAGCATTCCCGGCACGTGTCGTTACAACTTTGAAAGCCTGTTTGTCTCACTCTGTTCCTGCCCTCAACCGTCGGCTCAACCCGCCCCGCGAAAATTGCGTGTCCGCAGAATCCTGATGTTGTCAGGCGGAGCCCCGTCATCCTAAGCGTCATTGGCAAGATGTGGTCGGACGCACATCAAACCGTGAAGGATTTTTTTTCTCATGCTGCGAAGGTGCAAAATGCCTGGCTTGAAAACGAGAAGCTCGCCGATCAGCAGCGGGGAAAAAACAAGGTGAATTGAACACGTTTAACTCTGGCAGAGCGCTGCTTACAGCGGTGAAGAGATTGGCCGGCTTTCATGCGGCTAGTTGGCTTCTGTGAGAGACGAAGATCCACCTGCGTTGCCGTCTACGAAGGGTATTGGCCAGGGCACGGGGAAACACAACGAGCGTCGGTTCTTCAATGCTTTGTCCGATTATTTCAAAGCTTGGTTTTTAGCCCTGCATTTGGCACGTTTGCGAGCCTTTGGTAACTTCGGTGAGTCGTTGGATTGTATAGGATGTTGAAGGCCTCTTCCAGAGGGCGTCATGAGCCGTAGAATGTCCGATACCCCGATCGACCCCTACTCCACGAAGCACAGGGGTCCCTAGATCGCCATACGTCGTGTTCGAGATCACCATCACCCGCTTGGTGAAGACAACAAGAGGTTTGCAAAATTGTGCGACGTGGGCTGTACGGTTTGTGAATTGCAGTAGCCGTCGGCGTTCGGGAGGGTTAGAGCCCTGCTGTGACAGTATGATGCAGCAATGCACGCGTGGATATTCTCCATGAATTCTGATCGTGACGGCGAGGATCGATTAACCACTCTCACCACAGCACGCTGTCTTTGTCTGCGGGACTGGTTGGTTCCGTGCGCTGATTTGTTTTCATGCAGGCGAAAGGTAACAAGGATATCCCGGCGGGCGAAGGCGGTAGCAGCGTTAGCGATGGCAAGGAAAAGCGAACCGAACCGACAGCGGCACCTACGAAAGCAGCAGCAGCAGCAACAGTAGACGCAGAGGCGCAGAGCAAGACGACCAAAGATGCGCCAAAGGGGAAGCAGGTTGCGCGAAAAGCCACGCCAGACCAACCCATACACGAAGAACCCGAAGACCTGGCCAACAGCAGTAGCAGCAGCAGCAGCAGCAGCAGCAGCGCGTCAGAGACCATTGGGGCAAGCGTGAGGAAGAAGATCGCCCCGCCAAAGCGTAAAGCGTCCCCGCCGGAGGGCGAACTATCTGCTGCTCGGAAATCGTCTTCCTCGAACACTGCGGTAGCTGCGGCAGAGGCCAAGACTGCAGATACACGTACCCCTGTCACAGGAGCAGGTTTTTCGGCGTCGGAAGCTACGGGCAGCAGCGCCGAAGGTGTCGGCCATGCCACTAAAACCGTTGGTCGAGACGGCGGGGGGAGGGAAACCTCCCAGGCTAAGCGTGACAGCACAAACAGTGGCAAGGATACTGCTGGTGCTCCTTCTGGCGTTGTCAGCGGTGGAGGAACGAGAGGGGCAGGAACCAGCAGTGCCGCTCCCGATACATCGAACGTTAAAGAGTCCACTCTCAAGAGGAAGCGGACGAGCGAAGCCTCGGACAAAACAGGGACAGCCAAGACATCGAAAGAGAGCGATGTTGGCGGCGGCAGCGCGAGCACCAAGGGTGTTCGCGGGGATCGTGGCAGTAAGTGCAAAGTCGCCAAGTTTCCAGGGTACCTGGAAAGCGATGACGTGTCCGAGAAGGTCCTCTTTGGCCTGCCGCGAGGGGAAAAATGTCCCATCGACGTCCTGTGGGAGGTGGAAGTGCAAAAAAGCGGGCGGAAGACTGAGCAGGTACCTGCCACTTCGTATCGAGAGAAATAGTACGACTGATGTGTGCTTGCCATTTTTGCTGTTGAAATGCTCAGAAGTGTTATTTGCGATTTGCCATCCACAAATGCAAACGAACGGTTTCTTTGCATGTTGGAGTCACGTCAAATACTGGCATGATTTTTCGTGATACCTTTGCATTCCCTCTCGCATATGGATCACCTACTAAGGTGGGGGTGCTGGGCTTGCCACAAGTACCGGGGCTGCGGCGATTGTATCGTGCGGCACGACACCTGGTTGGGCCCGCTAGTAGGGAAAGATGATATATGTAAGTTGATTGTTCGTGATGAATGTTTCGGCGGCTCCGATCGAAATCTCTTCATATGGCGTAAAGATCGTCCATGTTCGCCAAGTAGACGAATACAGGAAGTTGGGTCACTGCAGGTGTGGACCAGGCCCGCAGCCGTACACCGCCCCCTATCCTTGAGCCCTACCTCGACTTCAAACCCTTGTTCCCACCCGCCCTTGCCTTTTCTGCAGACAGAATCGTGGTTCACCTCTGTTGTGGATCTGACGAAGTCTCTTGGGACGGATGAGGCAGGTCGCCCAAAGTTTCGCATCAACTACGCCCGACGAGGCAGTCTCTCCGCTTCTAAGGTCAGTTGGTGATTTTCCTCCCCCTGATCGGCTTTCATGTGCGTTTTTGCGCCCTGTGGACTCTTGTTATATATGCCGATGCTGTGTCGCTCGCCGGCTTATGGGTTATTCGTTTTCACGTTTCTTCCTCGGTGCTGGAGTACATCGATACGGCAGTATAGCAGTTGACGCACCGTTCGCGCTCTTTGGCGTTTCGGTGGTAATCACTTGGCAGAACGTGCGTAAGTCCTATCTGTGCGTGACAGATGCTTTTCGACTACTCGCATTGTCGACTTCTGCACGACAGTATCAGAGGGCGCAAACATGTAGCGATTGGCCTTAGGAAACCAGCCTATAGCATCGTTTCTTTCCAGCCGGTGAACGTTTCCAAAATTGACGCTGGTCCTGCTGTGTTCCAGGCACGACGTCGTATGCAGTACGCGCTCCTGCCGGCCTTTGAGCAGACCTATCACTCGGTTGTTCGTATCGGCAGTCCGTCAATCGTCTTGCGGCACGCCATGATTGGTATCGTCGGGCCGACACCGTGGTTGAATGATTAGCGCTCGCTGCATCATTTTTGTCACGGTTGCAACGAGAAATATCTACCAGGATTTTTTTGTACCTACCTTAATATGTTTAGTTGTTCTGTCCCAGACCCCCTGCGACGTGTCATGGGGAGATCGAGTGATTTGGTTTTGTGTACTCGCGTGTGTTGGTGTTGGTGTTCGTGATTTGTCGTTAGTCCTTATGCATCAGGTCCACCGGTAACGGATGACTCTTTGGGTGCAATACTCGAGCTCTTCGTTGGTACTCCGCTGTGGCCTTTGTCTCCCTCCCCGTGCTCGCCTATCCCTCATTGGCGCATTTTTGGTAATGTCCACCATTTGTCGAATCGACCAGATGCGACTCAGCGACATCATGTCGCGCGGATGTTGAAATGAAAGCGAAGAGTTCAACAGCCCTCAAAGTGCTGATTCAGCGTGATGCTCCGCCCGAAGCTCATTTTCGCGTATTAGACAGATTCAAGCGGCTTTCCTCTCGTCATAATATCCTGATTGCTTCTGATACCACACCTTCTATGATGGTGCTATTGTTATGCCCGGCTGGACCCGTCTCAGAGCGTGGTGGTCTTTCTGACCGACAGTGAGCTCCGGGACAACCTCCAGGACGAGTCTGAAGAACCACTGCTATGGAGAAAGAAGGGGTGTCAGGTCGCATCCAAGGTTGGCGTAAGAATGGCTCTACTTCCTACGGTTTTGGCGATGGGATTCATTGTTGTTTGGCCATTGCGGGCATGCCTGTTCTTGTTAGTGGTACAGCTTGGGGTAAACATGGATATCGATATTTCACTAGTGCGATAGTCGTTGCTGTCGTTCGTATTGAACTTGTAACAACAAAATATAATCACTGGTCCGTCCGTCTTCCGTACCGATGTCGTGGTTACACATAGAATAGGCGTTGATAAGTTGTTGCTACATAACACCTAAAGACGTCCTCGAGCTTGAGAGAATGGCGAAAGATCCCCTAATGAATATCTTGAGCATAGCCGGTCGCCCCAGTGATCTAGTTGGTATCCTCGAAACCGTCTACTGGACGTCGGGTCATAGGTTCGAATCCCGGCGTAAGCGAGCTTTTCTTGTAACGTGAGTTTTTCTCTCGCTTCCGCTCCTGGCCTAGTGGATAGCGCTAGTTCGTGTGTACACAAAGGGAAGAGATTGTTGAACACTTCTCGCAATAAAAGAACGCAAAGAACCGCAGGAGGGGAGGGTAGAGAGGGGCCCTTCTGTGTGACCACGGGTTGGAGTATAAGGCACTAGAGCTGTGAGCGCTGATTTGAAGTGAATAAATAGAAAAAAAGCTGAAATGGAGAATGGGCTTCAGCTTCATCGGTCACTTGCAGAGGCTTCGCGGCGACCGTGGCAGAGGATTCCTGCAAGAAAACGAGGACGCAGTGGAGCTACCGTCGCACTCTTCGAAGCGAGGAGTTTGTGCGTAGTGCTGTATCACACCAACCGTGTTTATTCAGGAAGCCAGATAGAGGATGCTCCGTGTTGTCGATATCTCTCTAGACGCGTGTGCCACGTTCCGTGTTCCACTGAAGTCAAGTCTTTTCTGCGACGATTTTGGCGCTGACAGCCTTTGAAAGAATGTGCGTATCACACCGTTTATTCCCACCCTTCCATCGGTGGGTTTTCCTTGCATTTCACCCACAACCCGGTTCCGCATCACGATTCTTTCAGGGTACCTCATTCACGTTCTTTGCGATCTCGCCGCCTTGCTTGCTACGCGACTGCAGCCGGCCGCCACATCTTCTCTTCGACCGAGCAGCGCCGGAAGCGAGGGTGTAGACCAGGAGGTGGAGTGGGCGGACGGATTCGGAATGAAATCGTTTCGGGGACAGTAAGGGGTCTTTCTCTTTGCACCCTTGCCCTCGGCCTCTCGGTGTCGGAGAAGTTAAGGCGACCGCGGCAAGTTGCGATATGGGGCAGAGTGGGTGGGTTTGGGAATGCAACGCACAAGCGATCCACGGGGGGATGAGAAAAAAACTCCTTATAATTTTAACTCCGTTCGTACCCCTTGAGTGGCCCTGAGATTTTTTTCGTCCAAGCAGGATGCACACTGAAGTTGCTTGATGGCATTTTAGGGCTTAGGACTATTCCGAGAGGCAGACAAGCAGTGAGGGAGAGCAGACTCTCTAGTTCCGATCTCGAAAAGCCTACTTGATCGATCGCCACTCGGCGGTCAGTGACATGTGGTCGTCACCGGGATAGTGCTAACATTGTTTGGGGTGTAGGCGGTGTGAGTTTCCGGTGACGTGATTGTGTTCGTTTTGCAAGGAGAGCGAATTGGTGGCCCTAAGATAACCCCATGAGTCTTGTTCACCATGGGGCCGCGTCTCACTGACCCCTGTCTGTATCCCTCTGCGGGAACCAAACTATTTGCGCGGTCTCGGGTCGCAAAGAAGTTATCTTTGCCCTGATGGTGTTGGTGCTCGATAGAGAAATTGCTGTCTTGTACGTGTGCATCGAGCTACAACCATTATCTCGTAGGCAGGAAACACGCGGATGGCCTCAGTACTGTCGTACGGCCATCAGGGTTTGCCCCTGGGTTACGATGTTGGCAGCGTGGTTTTCTATAGGATCCTGTGAAGGGGCGAGACCAGTTACAGGTGGATTTTGTGTTGTGAAGGGAAGCCAGAGTATAATACAGTAGAACCCTCAATATTTTTGCTGCTCAGTAGAGAACCTGATCGGAGAATGGCTCCCTTGTTTGCCTCTCGGGTTGGTTTTCGAGGAAACGCTAACCCCACACGCGGCGAAGCCCCACGGGGCCCTTTGGGCCTCGGTTAACCCTCAAGGCAGGGGTGGTTCAGTCTCGAGGTAGTGGTTCGGTCTTTTCGTTGTTCATGCTCGGGGTTGGGTTCCCCGATGGAGTAGTCCAAGCGAAACGGCTTGTCTAGCTTTTTTTCTTGCAAGATAAGGCATGCGGGACCATCCTCTGTTTGGAAGTTCCTTCAATTTCGAAGCTGCTGAGACCCCCCCACTACTCCGAAGCTGTCGTGCGTGGGAAAATATGGACCGAATTTTGCGGCTTTGGAGGTTGTGACGGTGAACGCAAAACCTGTGAGGAACTAGCGCATTGAGGTGGCGCAAAACGCCTAATATTCTGAGGGAGTATTTTTCTCGAGGGATATATTTTTCTCTATCTGTGGCCGCAGTCTACAAACCATGGATCATATATCCTTGCATGCCTGCCAGTGGGACGGAGTTCGCGAGGGTTTCATTCATCTGGCACGATGCAGGTGGCAAACTGCCGTCCGAAGGACAGTATGAGTTGATCCTGCTATCATGAAAGATAAGGGGGTGCGGTGCTAGGGTTTTTACGGGGAATGCGCGTTGCGGCGGACTGGCGCACACGTGATTCTCTGCCACGCTACCGAGAGTTGGAGACGTGTGTCATCTGGGGTGATATCATGTTGAAGCGACCCTGAACATGCCCGACGCACATCACCAGTGACGGGGCAAGATTTTCATGGGGATGGTGGAGCCACCGAAGGACCAATATTCGATGAAAGACGATACTTTTCGAAACGGTGGTAGTACTTTCGTGTGCTTCAGGACTCTCGACAGTCACTGTAAATTTCTGCGGATCCGCGTGAGGGGTGAACACCGCACCGGTGATCGGTCGCAAGTACGAGCCACTTGTTGACTGAGTCAGGTATCGTTTGAACCGCATTTCTGGCGTGCTGGAAGAAGTCCTACAGACATCAAACGTGCCCAGTAAAACGTCTTTGAAATATATGTCTTTTGGGAAGCGTTGACCCAACAACCTGGACCGGGCTGCCGCGGTGCTCAATCTATTTTTAGGCAGTAGTCTATATACATTCGTCTGTGTTGCCCTCAAAATCTGATTGGCGGAAGAAAACAATTGGTTTCGGATTACTGCAGTCCATGCTATGCCACTTTCGACGATGGTGGGCGATGGACGCCACGAAGACCCACCAGGTTTGCCTGCCCCGGACTCTCGGGCCGGGCAACGGCTAGCAGCAGGACTATTGTGAGCGCCACTGACGAAAACTGAGCTCACGAGGCGGGAGCGAAGGCTGGTGCCCGCCATCCTGTACGCATTGATAACTCTAGGAATCATCTGTGGTTTCCTGCACTTCTCCGGTGAAGCTCGAAGCGGCATCTCACTTCAATGCATGAAGGTGCCGGGGTGGAACCCACGAGTTATCAGGTTCAAATGATAGACTCTGTGTTGAGGTTTAGCTTGCAGGGCGTCGGGCATGTACCAAACTAACCAGCGGCAAGAAAAAGAGGGCACGACTGGCCACACAGGCGCGTGAATAGTACTCGAATTTGACCTGCTCGTTCTCGGTCTACAAAAGCGCCCCAGATCTTGCGCCTTCCTCGATGCTCTCTCTCTCTCTCTCTCTCTCCCCCTTGCCTCCGCCGTGAGAGAGTGTACCTCTCTCTCTCCCTTGCCTCCGCCGTGAAATAATATAGGTCGATGTTTTTGAGATTGAGCAGTGGTTCTCCGACCAAAAGGGATGCAGAATATGCTGTGTACACATACCATGAAGATTACGTAGTTTTCCCATGGATGGGCGGGTTCCGAGCTAAAGCCGAATTTATTTGGGGGGGGGGGGGAA